TCTCTTCCACTTTTCTTCAAAGTGAGATAGGTCGATCGTGTATAGCATCTAAAACCGTGTTAAATTTTGACACAATATATTATCTCGTATGAGAGCTCGCAATTCTTTTCAAGAGTTGAGAGTCCCTATGGTGTGGGGAAAAGTCCCACACATATGCCAGACTGTATTACAGGAAGACTACTCAATGAACCGAATTTCAAATCACATACTATATTTACGCTATGAAAACACTAAATCAAATAGTTCAGACTTAGTATTTGTGAGTTGTGACACCCATATCATGTTGTATGTTCTTTCGTTTCAAGCGTATTATATCTCGTTGGAAAGATCATTTAGAGTTGTAAAGCTATTATTCCGACTCGATTAAGTATGCATTAAGTATACAGTATAGATTAACCTGAAATTCACAAACATTTTCGATTTCACTCCGAACACGTGTAGAAATTGATCTGATCATATCTTGTTGTATTTAATTCCATTTAAAGTGTTCTCTGTCTCGTTGGAAAGATCTCATCGAATTTTAACAATCGTCTTTGGGCATCGTTTTCAAAATATTACGGGAAGACTACCTAATGAACAGAATTTCAAATCGCAGACTGTATTTACACTAAAAAACTTTATTTACGCCGAAAACGCTAAATCACATAGTTTAGGCTTAGTATTTGCGACACTCATATCTTGTTGTATGCTCTTCCGTTTCAAGCAAATTATAGCTCGTTGGAAAGATCATTTTGAGTTTTAAAACTATTGTTCCGACTCAATTTACAATGCATGAAGTATAACGTGCAAATTAACCTGAAATTCACAAACATTTCCGATTTCACTCTGAACACGTGTAGAAATTGATCTGATCATATCATGATGTATTTAGTTTCGTTTTGGAAAGATTTTATCTAGTAAAAAACCGTCTTCAGGCATCGGTTTCAAACTATTGCAGGAAGACTGCCTAATTAACCGAATTACAAACCTCAGACTGTATTTAAGCTAAAAAGCTCTATTTACGTTGAAAACGCTAAATCACATAGTTCAGGCTTTTTATTTTTGGCACTCATATCTTGATGTATGTTCTTCCATTCAAGCTTATTATATCTTGGTGGAAAGATCATTTTGAGTTCTAAAGGTATTGCTCCGACTCAACTTATAATGCATTAACTATAAGGTACATATGAATCTGAATTTCACAAACATTTTCGTTTGAACTCCGAACATGTGTTGCAATTGATATGATCATATCATGCGTTTTCTATCTCGTTGGAAAGATATTATCAGGTTCTAAGAATCGTCTTCAGGCGTCCGTTTAAGAATATTACGGAAAGACTACCTAATGAACCAAATTTCAAATCGCAGACTGTATTTACGCTAAAAAATGCTCTATTCACACTGAAAATGCTAAATCACATAGTTTAGGCTTAGTATTAGTGACACTCATATCTTGTTGTATGTTCTTCCATTTGAAGCGTATTATATCTCGTTGGAAAGAACATTTTGGGTTATAAAGCTATTGTTCCGACTCAATTAACAATGCATTAAGTATAAGCTACATATTAACCTGAAATTCAAAAACATTTCCGATTTCACTCTGAACACGTGTAGAAATTGATCGATCATTGTAAGGAATAAATGTAATTAGATTTTGATGATGCTAGGATAATTAGATTAGAATTTGAGAGTACCCCTACTTAGATTTTATGTATTAGAATTTTCAGTTGTAAGTACTAGTATAATCGACTATCAGAGTTGCTATGTGGATCTGATCAGAGCTGCTATATGAGAACTGCTTTCAGAGTCGCTCTCGGAAATCATGAGAGTTGCTCATCAGAGAACCATCAGTGTTGCTCTTCAGAGACTCGTCAGAAGTCTACATCAGAAAGACATGAGAGTTCGATGAAAAAGCTTCATCAAAATCCAACTCCAGAGAAGCATCAGAGTTCGATGTATAGCTTCATCAGAACTCAACATCAGACAAGCATCAGAGTTCCCACACCAGAGCTCGACTTAAAACTACATCAGAACTACTCTTCATAAAGCCATCAGAATCCAACGTATCAGAAGACTCCGATCAGAGTCCGACTAACACTTAGAAGAATTTCAAAGCTACTTCCAACGGCTGGGAAATTCTTCAACGGCTAGAATATATTCCGTCCAAGGAAAGTATTTAATGCTCATTAAATGAGCCTGATACGCTTTGGATTGATTGCAAATGATTGACCGAGAAATCTGGAAGATATATTATAAAAATAGAAAGCTTCCAAAACAGTGGGTCAAGTCAACAGTACGTGCATTTAATGCAGTTGTCTCCTCCTCCAACGGGCAGACAACCCCAGTATATAAGCTACTCACCGAAGAACAGGAACACAATTTTGCTACAACTTTTGCTCATTATACTTCAAGCTCTCTTGAGATTCAAACTCTACAATCATCAACAAGACAAGCTTACGTTGGGAAGATTCAATTATTCTTATCCTCCAAACCCAACATACAGCAAAGTTCATCCTTTTCTTCAACCTTCAAGAACTTCAATTACATATCTTTTGTAACGAAGCAAGTTGGAGAAAATTCTGTTTTCAGAACATCTTCTGCAAAGAAGGGCGTCCAAGTAACTGCAGTAGTGAAGTGGTGATACTTCCGGGAAGCTGAGTGAAAGGACCAGTCATCAGGAAGCAGGACTGCATCCCGGGTGACAACTAGACTTGAAGAAGGCGTGGAGAACTTCTTAAGTGCTAGGGACTAAGGCGTTGTAATTGATCTTTACAAGCTTAGTGGAACAGTGGACTAGAGGAACGCGTTGTTCCTTGAACCACTATAAAAACTCCGGTGTCATTTACCTTACTGCATTTACTTTCTGCACTTAGGATTTTGACTATTTAACTCTGAGACTTGGAATCTGTGTTCAACAGATCTTGTTGTCAGAGTTATCAGAAAGGCATTTGCCTTAGTATTTTTGAGGCTACCCGGAACTCTTATCCGCTGCAAGACCAGTTCTGATCATCAGAACTCGACCATCTCTGTTAAGTCAACTCTGACTTAGAGAAAAGTTGAAAAACTTGAATCAGTCTATTCACCCCCCCCCCCCCCCTCTAGACTGATTACCAACTCAAACGGGACCAACAAGTGGTATCAGAGCATCCTTGTTCCTGTAATCTTTTAGGTTACCTTCTGAACAAAGATCCACTTGTTTCTAGCCTCTTTATTTGTTATTATGGATAACTCTCTTGCAAAGCATCTTATGTTCACAGATCAGAAGTATGATGATTGGAAAATCAGAATGAAGGCACATCTATGTGCTCTTCATGATGAAATGTGGGAAGTCTTGGAGAATGGCCCCTTCATTCAGTTCATGAAGGTCAACCCTGCTCACACTAATGACAATTCTCTGCCCCAGATGATTGAGAAGGCCAGGTCTGAATGGACCAAGGAAGAAAAGAGACAGTACAACCTTGACAACATAGCCAAGGACATTCTCTATAAGGCCATAGATGAAAGGTACTTCAATAGAATCAAGAAGTGCAAGACTGCAAAGGAAATCTGGGACAAGCTGGATGAGATTGGAGCTGGAGATGAATAGGAGAGAGACAACAAGCTGACCATTGCCATGAAGAAGTTTGATGACTTCAAACTCCTCCCAGAAGAATGCATTGCCAAGATGCATGAGAGACTGCTGATCCTCATCAGTGAGATTTCTGAACTTGGCAAGGAACTCACCATCAAAGAAGTCAACATGAAGATCCTCAGAGGACTGCCTTCAGCATGGAAAATGAAGGCGATTGCAGTCCAAGAAAGCAAGAACATCAAGACCTACCCCATAGAGAGACTGATCTCAGATCTCAAAGCTTATGAGTTTGAGATGGTTGAAGAAAGAGAAGAAGTGCCAGATGAGAGAACCACTACTGCCCTCACTGCCAGCACTTCAAAGGTAAGTAATTTTGACCCTTCTACTTTATTATCTGACGAATATATGGCTGCTTTTGCCAGGAAGTTCAGAAAATTTATGAAGAAAGATGGAAGGAGTCCATCTTCCATCAGAAGACCTCATCAGAAGACCAAATCTTCTGAAAGCAATGGAGAGCACCTCTGCTACAACTGCAGACAGCCCGGTCACTTCAAGGCTAACTGCCCCTTTCCAAGAGTGTCCAAGAAGCAAGGACATGAAGAAGAAAAGAAACCTGAAGATCAACACAGAAGACGAAGAGCATTCGTCTCAGAGCAAGCTGAGAGAGATCCACTCTCTGAATCAGAGTCTAGTTCAGATTCTGATTCTGATGAAGCTTTTTGCTGCTTAGATACAGAGACCGAAGATCTCTGCCTCATGGCTCAATCAGATGATGAGGTATATTCAACTGCTAATTCTATTTCCTCTTCGGTAGGCACAGCCTTAAATGATGATCCAATGTCATCATTTTGGGAAGAGTTCAAAACTATCCAAAGTTCTTATTCCTTTATTAAAGAAGAGAACAGTAAGCTGAAAGCTGAAAATGAGTCTCTTCTAAAGAGAATAAGAGAGATTGAACATCTTGAAGTCAGATACAATAGCCTTCTGAAGATGCAATCTTCTATGAAGGGTATCAATGACTTTCACAATCCTACCCCTGGTCTTGGATATGTTGAACCCAAGTCTGATGAACCTTCTGTAAGGCCTAGCACCCAAGTTGCTAAAGCCAAAAAGGTCATAGTTTCACAGATTTGCAGCCCCATCTGCCATGCTAGTACCTCTGGTACTAAGGTTGTTCATGAGAGAGTCCCACCAGAGAACCAAAAACTAAAGGCCAAACCAAAACAAACTTTAAAAACTAATGAATCTGGCAGAAGACCTAACCACAATAAAAGTTTTCAGAACAATAAAATTCAAAGGCCAAAATCTATCAGACATCCTCATGATAACCGTATCAGAGATCACTATCAGAGGGGCAAATATCAAGAGAAAATTAACTATAGACAAATGAGGTTGTCTGGTCACCTTGTTTAATTATTAGAGTTATAAAAGAAAAACAAAAATGGCCTTTCAACATCAGGGACCATTTTATTTGGTTACATCATCATTTCAACCAAGATTATTATTAATAGTAGTAAACTCTAATTAAGAACGACCTTTATCCATACGGTTATGACCTGTTCCATTCTGATATTCTACAGCTGAGCAGGCTGCAGCTTGCTGGGAGTGTCGGTGGTGTCACCGCAAGTCGGCTGAGCAGGCTGCAGCTTGCTGGGAGTGTCGGTGATGTCACCACAAGTCGGCTCAGCAGGCGGTGTACCAAGGGCACCAGCCTCTTTTAGCATTGTCAAAAGCTCCCCCTTCCTGTGTTTCTCCACCATTGCATCACAGCCCCCTACGTGCTTCCCTGCAATGAAAACGTTTGGCACAGTCCTCTGATCCGTCCACTCAAGTAGCGCATTCTGAACGACAGCCCCATCACTTCGTTTGTCAAGCTCAATGACTTCTTTAGCAGCACCAAGCTCCGAAAGAAGGTCCTTCACTCTAGTGCAGAATGAACAATGTGTTTTACTGAACACGACTACGGGGTGGGAAGAAACCATATGTTTGACTTTGTAAAGAGCCTTCTCTGTCTCTTCTTTGCTCGCCATCTTGTCTCTTCTGAGGTTGTCTGGTCAACCTCAGAAGCCTAAAGTTAAGCGCTCCTCTGATCTTGATAGTATATGGGACTTCTTTCCAACAAAGAAGGCTATGCAAAAGTATGCAAACAGAAAGCATGATCCTCACAAGCATCTGCCCAAAGTGAATCATACATCTGTTTACTACGACTACCAGGTGGACAATGGGTACCATCCACCAAGGTTTCAGTTGATGAGACCAAAATGGTACCAACTACCAAGACTGCATTACCCCCCAGGACCCAACATTGCTTGGGTACCTAAATCTTCCTTTTAATTTTGCAGGAACTGTGTGCTGGAGCTATCTCAGAGCAAGAATGGTTTATTGATAGTGGATGCTCCAGGCACATGACAGGTGACAAGAGTTGCCTATCAGAGTTCCAGAAATACAATGGACCCCGAGTCACTTTTGGAGGAAATGACAAGGATGGTCAAACAAAAGGAAGAGGAAAGCTGATCAAGAACCAGATAAGCATTGATGATGTCTCATATGTCAAAGGTCTGAAGTTCAATTTGCTGAGTGCTAGCCAATTCTGTGACAAAGGCTACACAGTTGAATTCACTAAGACCTTATGCTACGTCAAACATGAGACAACAAAGGAAGTGGTTCTTACAGCCAAGAGAAGAAAGAACATCTATGTTGTTGACTGGCAAACAGCAAAAGATGGAACCTGCTTGATAGCCAAAGACAATTCAAAGCTAAGCTTGGACTGGCACAAGAAGCTTAGCCACCTGAATTTCAAAACCATCCACAAACTGGCAAGAGAACACATTGTAGATGGTCTGCCTGACATTGTCTACAAGAAGGAGACCCTCTGCAGTGCTTGTCAGAAAGGCAAACAAGTGAAGACCTCATTCAAGCCCATAGCTGGAGATCTTTCTACTTGTCCTCTAAATCTGATTCACATGGATTTATTTGGACCAGTTGAAACTCCCAGTGTTGGTGGAAAAAGATATACCCTTGTTATGGTTGATGATTATTCAAGATATACTTGGACTGTGTTCCTAACCAAGAAAAATGAAACTCTTCAGAAGTTGCCATCTCAGTTAAAGCAACTTCAGACTGAGAAGAATATGAAGGTCAGGACAATCAGATCTGACAGAGGAACTGAATTTGTCAACAAAGTGATCAAAGACTTCTGTGATCAGAATGGCACGTTTCACCAACTCTCTGCTGCCAGAACACCCCAACAAAATGGTGTTGCAGAAAGAAGGAACAGAACACTGAAAGAAGCTGCAAGAACTATGATTGCAGAATCAGGATTGCCCATCAGATACTGGGCTGAAGCAATCAACACAGCATGCTACACTCAGAACAGAAGCATGATCCACAAGAATCATCAGAAGACCCCCTACGAGCTGTGGAAAGGAAGAAAGCCAAACATCAGCTACTTCCATGTGTTTGGATGCAAGTGCTATATTCTAAACAATGGAAAGGAGAATCTGAAAGTATTTCAAGAAAAAGCTGATGAAGGTGTATTCCTAGGCTACTCAAGTTCAAGCAAAACCTATAGAATACTTAACAGGAGAACTATACAAGTTGAAGAATCCATTCATGTCAAGTTTGATGATAGCACCTCTGCAGAAGAACTATCAGAAACCCTGCAGAAGATCTATCTTGAAGACAAAAGCTCAGAACCATCTGAAGAGATCACTATCAATCCTGTATTCTCAACTCCTCCTGCTAATCCAATTCTGATAGACAAAGATGAAGATGAAGATGAAGAATCAGAAGATGAACCATCAGAGTTGCCTAGACAACAACTATCAGAACCTGACCTAACTTGGTTAAGAGATCATCCTCAAAATCAAGTGATTGGTCAAGTTACTAGTGGAATAAGGACCAGATCTGCATCTAGAAGAGAAGCCATGTTCACCTCCTGTATTTCTCAAATGGAACCAATGAATGTAGATGAAGCTCTAGAAGATTCAGATTGGATCAATGCAATGCAAGAAGAGCTCACACAGTTTGAAAGGAATCAACTATGGGAACTTGTTCCTAGACCAAAGCATCAGAACGTCATTGGAACCAAATGGGTATTCAAGAACAAAGCAGACGAAGAAGGCAACATTGTAAGGAATAAAGCAAGGCTTGTAGCAAAGGGATACTGTCAAGAAGAAGGCATAGATTTTGATGGGGAAAACTGTCAAATAGGTCCTTGAACTTTCATAAAAAGGTCAATTAAGTCCTTCTATAGGAGGTTCTGTCCGGCCGTCGCGATTTGGGGCAGTTCCCGAGGGAATTTTTTGATGAAATTTTTTAAGCATCTTATTCATCAAGTCTAGTTTACTCATACCAAATTTCAACTAAAAATTCAATCGGGAACACATTCAAATTAATTCTTGAAGATAACTGCGCATTTTTGCGTTCTCAAAATAATTTGAATGCGCTCCCGATTAAATTTTTAGCTGAAACTTGGTATGAATAAACTAGACTTGATGAATAAGATGCTCAAAAAATTTCATCAAAAAATTCCACCGGGAACCGCCCCAAATCGCGACGACTGGACAGAGTCTTCTAAAGAAGGACTTAATTGACATTTTTATGAAAGTTCGAGGATCTATTTGACAGTTTTCCCATTTTGATGAGACCTTTGCACCTGTTGCAAGACTGGAAGCAATCAGAATCTTCCTAGCCTATGCTGCCTACAACAACATCAAGGTCTACCAGATGGATGTCAAGAGTGCATTTCTGAATGGAGAACTTGAAGAGGAAGTTTATGTTGAACAACCCACAGGTTTTGTCATTCCTACTCAATCTTCTTGTGTCTACAAGCTCAGAAAAGCCCTTTATGGTCTTAAGCAAGCTCCCAGAGCTTGGTATGACACATTGTCCCTATTCTTAGTGAACCATGGGTTTACTAAAGGAAAGGTTGACAAGACTCTATTTCAAATTTCTGTTGCTAATCATATTCTATTAGTGCAAATCTATGTTGATGATATTATATTTGGAAGCACTAATCCAGAATTATGCAAAAAGTTTTCTAAAGTTATGCAGAAGAAGTTTGAGATGAGCATGATGGGAGAACTAAGTTATTTCCTTGGTTTGCAAGTCAAACAAGTTCCAGAAGGAATCTTTATCAATCAAGGAAAGTACACCAGAGATCTAATCAAGAAGTTTGGAATAGATGGGAAATCCTCAGTCAAAATTCCTATGAATGCATCTCAAGGAATTGGACCAGATGATGAAGGAAAGGATGTTGATGCTACAACATATAGAGGAATCATTGGATCTCTTCTCTACCTAACTGCAAGTAGACCAGACATAGCATTTGCTGTGGGAATCTGCGCCAGATACCAATCAAAGCCCAAGGAGAGCCATCTAGTTGCTGCTAAGAAGATTATCAGATATATCAAAGGAAATCCAAATGCAGGACTATGGTATCCCAAGGGAAGTAACTTTGAACTAATTGGTTACTCTGATTCAGATTTTGCAGGTTGCAGATTAGATAGAAAGAGCACCTCTGGTCAATGCCAATTGCTAGGTGGGAGACTTGTTTCCTGGTTTAGCAAGAAGCAGAATTCAATCTCAACAAGTACAGCTGAAGCTGAGTACATTGCTGCTGGAAGTTGCTGTGCTCAATTACTCTGGATGAAGCAACAACTCAAGGATTATGGTGTGCAAGCAAAGGAGATCAAGCTGCTGTGTGACAATACCAGTGCCATTGCCATCACTCAGAATCCTGTGCTGCATTCCAGGACAAAGCACATTGAGATCAGACATCATTTCATCAGAGATCATGTGGAGAAGAAGCACATTTCAATTGAGCATGTTCCAACCGAAGATCAGCTTACAGATATCCTAACCAAACCTCTCTCTGAGGCAAGGTTTAACAAGCTGAGAGAAGAACTAGGAATGATGGATGATCTTCCCAGAGTTACGTAAATCAGAGTTGCACAAGATCAGAGATCCACCCATCAGAGTACCCCTCCTCTGATACCAGGACTCTTATCAGATCATCTTATCAGAAGACCTCGTATCAGAATACCCCTCATCTGATACCTGGAATATCTCTTCATCAGAGGCCCTCGTATCTGAGCATCTCCATCTCTGATACAAGGACTGATATTCATCAGACGGGCTGTGGACTTAGAAAAATTTACTAAACTTTGGGGGAGCATATTTAAACAAACCGGAAGTTACCAGTTTACCCCCGGTAGTTATTTCCATAAGTGGAAACGGCTTTCCGCCCACAATCCATTTAATGCGACCTCGAAACCGCAAATTATATCAAACGTCCACTAACCCAAATCCATATATACACTTTCTGAAACCTAAATCGCTACTGCAACTTTACCTTCATTTTCAAGCTTTATCACTCTAAACTTCCAACCTTCAGACTCTCTCAAATCTCTTCATTAACCTGAAAATGAAGTTCATTAATATCACCGATCTCTCAGAATCTGAAGCCAAGGCGCTTGTGGCTAACATTGCCACCGGGATGAAGGTTGACATGTCCTCCTTGCCATTACTGGCCGAGAACAAGAAAATCATGAAACAAGTCATTGCAGGGATGATTGACTCCCAACTGAGCAAAATAGTGGCTCATCCATATGAGCATTTCAGCAACTTAGATGTGGCTGAGTTCTATCTCAACGCTCACATCAGCAACAACATCATCCGCTCCCAAGTTCAGGGTAAGAACCTGAAGATCGATGCTGACGCTCTCAATGAGTTCTTCGGCATCCAACTCGACTCTCAAGACATTGACACTCCTACACTCATCGACCTGGAATCTGTCGAAGTCTCTGTAGAGACATTTGTGGACACCTACTGCCGGGAGGATGCAACCGGAGTAGATAAACTCTACATGAAGAAGAACCAGCTGAAAAAGGATTATGAACGTCTGATGAGCATTATGCACCGCTGTCTGTGGTGCAAAACCGGCTCCACTGATCAGATGAACAACACAAATGCTAAGGCCATCTATGCTGTTCATCGGGGTATGAACATCAACTGGGGAAAGGTACTTTTCCAGTCCATC